GTCAGTTTATTTTCTGATACGATTCCCATACCGGGGAATTCAGATATTGAACTGATTTTTACAAAATCGGACAAATAAATATCCGATTATCATTTATTGGAACAATTTTTGTCCAAATAAGTGAAAATCGTTCGTTATTATCTACTAAAAGTATAAAATAGAAATTAATTTCTATTTTATACTTTTAGTAGATAATAATGAACGATTTTCTGATACGATTTCCATACCGGGGAATTCAGATATTGAACTGATTTTTACAAAATCGGACAAATAAATATCCGATTATCATTTATTGGAACAATTTTTGTCCAAATAAGTGAAAATCGTTCGTTATTATCTACTAAAAGTATAAAATAGAAATTAATTTCTATTTTATACTTTTAGTAGATAATAATGAACGATTTTCTGATACGATTTCCATACCGGGGAATTCAGATATTGAACTGATTTTTACAAAATCGGACAAATAAATATCCGATTATCATTTATTGGAACAATTTTTGTCCAAATAAGTGAAAATCGTTCGTTATTATCTACTAAAAGTATAAAATAGAAATTAATTTCTATTTTATACTTTTAGTAGATAATAATGAACGATTTTCTGATACGATTTCCATACCGGGGAATTCAGATATTGAACTGATTTTTACAAAATCGGACAAATAAATATCCGATTATCATTTATTGGAACAATTTTTGTCCAAATAAGTGAAAATCGTTCGTTATTATCTACTAAAAGTATAAAATAGAAATTAATTTCTATTTTATACTTTTAGTAGATAATAATGAACGATTTTCTGATACGATTTCCATACCGGGGAATTCAGATATTGAACTGATTTTTACAAAATCGGACAAATAAATATCCGATTATCATTTATTGGAACAATTTTTGTCCAAATAAGTGAAAATCGTTCGTTATTATCTACTAAAAGTATAAAATAGAAATTAATTTCTATTTTATACTTTTAGTAGATAATAATGAACGATTTTCTGATACGATTTCCATACCGGGGAATTCAGATATTGAACTGATTTTTACAAAATCGGACAAATAAATATCCAATTTTCATTTATTGGAACAATTTTTGTCCAAATAAGTGAAAAACGTTCGTTATTATCTACTAAAAATATAAAATAGAAATTAATTTCCATATAAATAAAATCTTTAATTTTATAAACTGAATTATATAAATTTACCTATAATATATGTACATTATGTATTACATTATGTTTTATTATATATTATTACTAATTGATCTTAGTTTTACCATCAAACAAACGTTAGAAAATAATGTTCCGTAAATGAGACATATCAACGTCATATTCGAGTCTTATGAGACCTAACTTAAAACATTTAATTAGTCATTTTGTGACCAAAATTTAACCAACATGCGAGTTCTCATTGAATATCGCCCATCGCTTATCGCTCATCGCGTCCAGTGTATGAGGGCCATTAAAGAATCCCATTACTGACCACATGATTTCCGATTTTTCTCGTCTTTTCCTTGGCCTTGGCCTTCTCGAAAGTATCATCGTGCTGCGCACATGTACTAAAAAGGTAATCCTTATTTATTTCAATACATTCAGTAATAAACGCTGTATAAAATAATAAATTATTAATTAGCCCACATATTTTTTCCTATATTTTTCATAATATTTTCTATGCATTTGTTAGTTTCCTGTAAAATCAGTGTGACGTCCCGTCATGTTTTAAAACCATATTTTAATTAATAATTAAGTACCGCATCTATTTCTGCATTATGCCTATGGAATACAGAATAATTATTTAACCATTTGCTCTTATTTCTATTATTAATCAATTTCACTAATTGCTTATTGTTCTGGTTTCATATGGTTATTTAACTTAGAAATTAACTATATTTTAGTTCTTTTAATAGTAATAACCGATTGCGCAAGGAATTGAAAGTTCCTTGGACCGACCAATCAGAAGGCTTTATTTAGAACTAGGCAGCTGCGCAGTAGTAACTTTCTAGAACTGACCAGCGGTTACTTTAAGAATAGATCCGCGATTGAGCTTATGGCAGCGCATCCTAGGGGAAATTACAAGACCAATCAGAAAGACCACCAATGACACTAGCGCCACCGAGTTATTTTTATAGGATTATTCTTCTTCTTCCGGTCTGAAGCCAAGACATTACGTTATCTTAACGACTGTGATAAAAGATTTGAGTTTTCTATTTGTATACAATAAAGAATTAAGTAATTTACTAAATATTCCTGTGTTATTGAGAAGCCCACAAGAATATATTGGTGACCTCGACGTGATCCGTGAGTACGGATTGCGTGAAAACAGGAAGATTCCCACGAGGCTATATTCATGTCACGTTCACCATCGCCCGGTCGGGCGCAAGAGACGGCCAATTCTGTGACAGGAACTTAATTCGAGGGAAAGGCGACTCACGAGGAAATGGAGGTCTGTGCTACTAAAATGATAAAATTACCGCCATTTTGGAGGGACAATCCAGCACTTTGGTTCCTACAAGTAGAGGCTTCTTTCGCTATTTGGCGTATAACGAGTGATGAAAGCAAATATCGCTACGTGTTAGTCAATCTAGACCCTTCAGTACTCCCGTTCGTATCGGACATTGTGATTGCACCACCTACAGCATACGTCTTGAAGAAGAGGATACTTGACTCCTTCGATGAGACAAGTGAGACGAAATTGCGGAAGTTACTGCGAAGTCACTAGCTCACAAACGAAAAGCCATCCAATCTCCTTCAAAAATTGCGGAATATGGCGGGAGGCCAGTGCAATGACATGGTCCTCCGTACCTTATTCTTGGAACATCTACCAGATAACGTACATACCATCTTAGCTATTAGCGAAGTGGTTGATTTATCTAAATTAGCGCTACAAGCAGATAAAATATTTGAGATGTCAAATACTAATGTAAATCAAATCTGTTTAAGCACACAGAGTAATAACGCAGGTAATTCAAATAATATCAAGACAGAAATTAACGAACTAAAAGCTACTATAGAAGCTCTAACAAGACAGTTTAAAGAGTTACGCAGTAAACAACGTAGAGTTAGAAACAGATCCAGAAGCAGATTCAGAAGTAGATTCGACAGACGCAACATATCTCCAGCACCGATACAGCAGGAAGAGTCAGGAGTTTGCTACTATCATCGCAGATTTGGGAAAGAAGCTTATCGTTGCTTACTACCATGTAACTGGAAAAATGAAAACTCGGAAAACTAGTCGCGTCGTGCGGAACGACGGGTACTGGCGACGCACGTTCATCCCGTCTAGTCATTTTCGACAGAGCCAGCCATATACGTTACCTCGTCGATACGGGAGCCGACATTTCCCAAAGAGCTTACCAAAGGAAAGGTCATGGCGAGTGGATTCAAATTGTACGCAGCTAACCACACATCTATTACGACCTATGGAACTAAACTAGTCAAAGTTGATCTAGGTTTACGAAGAAAATTAGACTGGACATTTTTCATAGCGGATGTAAGACAACCCATTTTAGGAGCGGATTTTTTAGCTCATTACGGTTTATTAGTAGACCTCAAACGAAAGACATTACACGATGCGACAACTCGATTCAAAACTGCGGGCAGTCTAGCAAACATTGAAGTAGGAGAAATTACTATTTTCGACGCTTCAAGTCCTGTTTCCAAGCTTTTACGAGAATACCATGTGATTACCAATCCCGTAAGTTGTAAAGAAACTAAACATAAAGTACTGCATCACATTGTTACAGCAGGACCACCTGTCGCAGAACCCGCACGCAGATTGTCTGATCGAAAACTAAAAACGGCAAGACAACAATTCCAACATATGTTGGAAACTGGCATAATTCAATCCAGTAACAGTCCTTGGGCCAATCCTCTATACTTAGTACCTAAAAAGAATGGAGAATAAAGAATCTGTGGAGATTACAGGCGCTTCAACAGAGTAACCGTTCCCGACAGATATCCAATACCACACTTTTACGACTTTGCACACCGTTTGGCAGGATTTTCACAACTCTGGATTTAATTCGAGCGTATCATCAAATTCCAGTCGCAGAAGAAGATCGCGCCAAAACAGCGGTGATAACACCCTTGGGACTGTACGAATACATGGCTATACCTTTCGGTTTGAGAAACGCAGCTCAGTCATTCCAGAGATTAATGGACTGCGTACTTCGCGGATTAGAGTGCTGCCACTGTTACATAGATGACATCCTAATTGCTTCCCCAGACATTGATACGCATCAGAGGCACCTACGTTAAGTTTTTGAGAAATTACGCCAAAATGGACTCTCTATAAATGTAGCCAAATGTAATTTTGCCAAAGAAAAAGTTAATTATTTAGGATATACAATTGATAAACAGGGCACACGACCTTTAGAGGACAGAGTGGAATCCATCAAGAGATATGAAAAACCGACTAACGTCAGCGAACTTCGTCGTTTCTTAGGAATTATAAATTTCTATAGACGATTCATCCCAAATGCAGCAGAAGTACAAGCACCACTACACGAATATCTTCATGATGCAAAGAAAAGAGACAAACGCCCCATCCAGGGGAACTCGAGATCTGAGAAAGCCTTCGAAGAGACCAAACAGCAGTTGGTTAATGCAACCTTATTGGCGCATCCAATTGCTGACGCTACTCTAGCTTTAAAGTCTGACGCTTCAGATACAGCTATGGGAGCAGTATTAGAACAGTTTAACCAAGGCGTTTGGGAACCTCTCGGTTTTTTCTCCAGAAGATTCAGCCCTGCTCAAAAAAACTATAGCACCTACGACAGAGAATTGCAAGCAATTTATAGTGGACTCAAATTCTTTCACCAATTCATAGAAGGACGTAAGTTATTAATTAAAACAGATCATAAACCATTTACCTACGCATTTTTCCAGAGATCCTCAAAATCTACGCCAAGGCAAACAAGACAATTGGATTATATTGGCCAGTTTTCAAGTGAGATAATCTACATTAAAGGAAACAACAACATAGTAGCCGATGCTTTATCGCGCATAAATAACATCGATATGCCCATAATTATTACGACCGAAGAGCTAGCCCAGGAACAAAGCACCGACGAAGAACTCAGAGAAATTCTACAGAATGGAACACATTCTTTACAATTAAAAAAACTTCGTCTGGATAACACTTCAATCTACTGCGACACATCCCAAGATGAAGTACGACCGTACGTTCCCCGAACTTTACGGAAACGGATCTTCGACACAACGCATGGTTTGGCACATCCTAGCGGGCGTATGACAAAACGAATGATAAATCAACGATTTGTCTGGCCGGAAATGAATAAGGACATCGTCGAATGGGCGAGAACCTGTTTACCATGCCAAAGAAATAAAATTCACGGACACAATAGAGTTGCTTCTGAGCATTTTCCAGTTCCAGACGTCAGATTCGATCAGGTACATTTGGACATTATTGGACCACTACCCAACATACAAGGTTACCGTTATTGCGTCACAATGATTGACAGATTTACGAGATGGCCGGAGGCAGTACCAGTAAAAAATATAACCGCCGACAGTGTCATTCAAGCCTTTTTTAACGGGTGGATCTCCCGTTTTGGCTCACCAAAAACCATCACAACAGATCAAGGTACACAATTCGAATCCTACTTGTTTAAAGCTTTAACTAGTTTGATCGGCAGCCAACGCACGAGGACATCCGCCTATCACCCTGCTTCGAACGGGATACTTGAACGATGGCATCGTTCATTAAAAGCAGCAATCCGTTGCCATGAATCAAAAAATTGGTTGGACGCACTGCCAGTAGTACTCTTAAGATTACGTTGCAGTTTGAAAGAAGACATTAAAGCCTCAGCAGCTGAAATGATCTACGGCACTACACTTTGACTTTCAGAAGAATATTTCTACGACGAGCAGACACAACTCGATCCACACATCTTTGTAGAGCGTTTTCGTGAGCAAATGCGAAACGTCAGACCTACGATGACAGCTCATCACATCAAACAGCGAGTTTTCACCCATAATACCTTGTATACTTGCACGCATGTTTTTTTACGAGTAGATAGAGTAAGAGGAGCTCTAGAAGGTCCATATGAAGGCCCCTTCGAGATAATACAAAGACTAACTGACCGTTTGTTTCAAGTGAGGATCAAAGGCGAGGCAGTAAATGTTCCTATAGAAAGACTGAAGCCAGCATTCACAGAGATTCAGGACACGACTGAAGACGAGCCATCAGGACAGCAAGAAATAATTGACACGCAAGCTCCGAGAGCTCAAACTTCGAAACCAACCAGCCACCGTAAGAAGGTCGCATTCGCAACTCAACCATTAGGCTGAGTTACTCGGCGGGGAGCACTGTGGCAGCGCATCCTAGGGGAAATTACAGGACCAATCAGAAAGACCACCAATGACACTAACGCCACCGAGTTATTTTTATAGGATTATTCTTCTTCTTCCGGTCTGAAGCCAAGACATCACGTTATCTTAACGACTGTGATAAAAGATTTGAGTTTTTTATTTGTATACAATGAAGAATTAAGTAATTTACTAAATATTCCTGTGTTCGTTATTGAGAAGCCCACAAGCTTTAAGAGGATGCCGAATATCGACAGAATACGAATATTAGTTAAAATGCAAAATATTTTTGTTGATTATAGATATCAACAAATCCTTTTCCATAATTAAAGTATACATAATAACGGAGTGCGGAGTTTATGATTTCATATGAAAAGTGAAAAAAAATTAAAAAATTACAGTTTTGTTATCGGCTTCTGCCGTCAACATTTACTTAATATAAAAAATTTGTAATCTGCACGTGCCTAACAAGTGGACTCCGCACTCGGCATTTTATCAAAGAGTATTAATAAACTTTGAGAAGTGAGTTTAGAAGCTTTATAAAAAAGATTTTACTATGCAAAATTTTGCACACCGAAATGTTTTTACTAGGGTTCTAAATACATTTTTAAACGTTCACTTATATTCTTTCTATTGAGAGGATGAGCTCTTTAAGAGGACTTTTTAAAGACTTAATTAAATTTTCTTAGAAATGATATCAGTAAGTTATCTTTTTGTAAGATATCTTTCACAAGAGCTCTTTATGATATCTCTTCATAGATATCTCTAAAATCTCTAGCAAGCGTGCCATTTAAGATATTTTACGAAAGCCGCACACATGCGCAAGCAACGTACATGTGAACTAGAGACCCTGTGTTCTAGTGTGAACTGCGTGCCACTGCATGCTCTGGATTTCAAAGAGATAGCATTTCTTCAATATTAACGTTTTTAAGATAATCTTTCTTTCTTAAAATATAAATATTATTAAATATGTATTTGAGCATAAAATAGATTAATATTTTCATATATATTATTGTTATTTCTATATTCAACCTAAGAAGTTGGATTATGTCTTCAAAAAATGTAAAGGACGTTTTTTAATTCATATCGATTGATCAATCGCATGATGCACAAATGTAGCAAATACAGGACTTTGCTGTACTTGCGCATCATGCGATTGATCAATCGATGAATTAAAAAACTCGCCCAAAAATATAATACTACAAATAGAACGGTTCTTAACGGTGACATTTTTTTGATATTTAAAA